AGAGGGAATGAGAATAAGGAGGGTAACAGAGAGAGAGAGAGAGAGAGAGAGAGAGAGAGGAACCTTGTGGAACAATGATCATGTGTGTTGTCCTGAGGGAATATGGAGAATAAAAACATTTTACCTGAGAGACTTAAGGTCCTACTTCTTCAAGAGAGATATAAACTTCAGAAGAGGGTATTGTGGATCTCCCTGCATTGGCTAACAAGTTGTGAAGTTTTATCATGCAGCCAGCAAATATTTATTCATTATCTTCTATGTGCCAGGGACTATTCTGGGTATTAGAGCTAGTAGAGTGAAGGAAATAGAATAGCTTACCTTCTGGTTGGCTATTACATCCAAATTAAGTTTTCTCTTCAGAAAGGGCAAATAGACAAAGTTAAAGTTTTTTATGCTTACAATACAGGAGAGTAATTTATAATATATAAGGCACTCTTACAAATCAAAACAAAAACAACAGTAAAGCAAAGCCCACTAAAACAATGGGCAGCTGAAAAACATTTGTTTTCAAATAGCCAACCAGCAGGTAGGCTATTATGCTTAGTCCTTCCTGGCATTAGGCTAGGTAAATTGTTGCATGTATCTAATTGCAGCCTTGGATACAGTGTGTCTGGGCCTTGGCAGCATGACTCTGAGGTTGCCTTTTACTTGGGGTGGCTTCTGGGAGAGATTTGGAAATTCTTAAGGAAACAACTGAAGAGAAGTCCTGAAGTTATTGCCTGAGAAGGCCTGAGAGATTATGGCCTGAAGTTATTTAGCACACAGTTGTTTTTTCTCCAGTTGTTTTTTCATAGGAGCAGTTTTATTCTATATCTATAATCTCTCTTAGTAACAAATATTTTTCAGATTCCTTGGATGACTTTTCACAAATCCACTTTAGTGGGTTTTGGTCAAGCTCACTAAAACCTAAGTCTTGACTCAATTAATACTGCCTTATTAATGGTTGTCCACGAGGGCCATAGAATGAAGAAAAGACACATAGTTGCTATTAGAGACTGGATTACAATGTTCTGGCATTCTACTTTTGTTTCATAGCTATTTATTCCCTATTCAGGAATCATAATGAAGCTGGCAAGTAGTACTGGGTCAAACCCCAACTTTAGAAGTGCTACTATAAAGCCAGTCTCCAAATCACATTCAGACCTGTTCCTCACAGGAAAATGTATGTATGCTTATCAGATTCCCAGGCAAACCAACAAAAGTCTATTAAATGCATAGACTAGCTTAACTTGTGTTAATATAATTATATTGAGTTCTGGACAAGAATGGTCATATCTTATATAAATAAGAAATTGGATAAAAAAGAGGTTCCTCTTCTTGGGCTCATGAACAGCCCCAAGAAAATGTTTGGAACGCTTCCTTACTCTTCCCCTTTGCATCGTTTTCTTAATGAGGCCACCTTCCCAAATGCTGTGTCCTCACGTTTTTCTTATGCTTCACTGTAGCTCCTCACTCAGTTCTGTGCCACCTCACAAAATGCTTGAGGTTCTACAATTACTACCTTTCTTTCTTCCAGTCTTCAACTCTTCTGGGCTTTAGTAGTTGTAAGGAGAAAAATCTGATTGAACTAACTTGCACAAATTCACATTCCTCCTAGCAATAGATCGGTGCATATGCCCTCTGCTCCCACACCTTGGGAAGGTTTCCAGTCTAGATTTCAGGTGTTATTTAGAAGTCAACATATTTTTAATAATTTGAAGTTAACATGTAGACACTATATTCCCAAAGTCTCTTATTCAGATGTCCATACATGTATATATGCTAAAAATTGCTATAGGATTTTTGGAAATATTATTTTGAGATTGTGTGTTGTTTAGGATGAGTAAAATTTCAAGATAAACTACTACATCCCTGTATTCTTTAAATACTTGTATGTTAAGAGAAATGATGATAAGATTGTTCAACATTGATATTTCCAAACTTAAACTGATACTGATTTTAATTCAATGAATATAACTTAAGATATATTTGCATTTAGAGAATCAAGATGGCAGAGGAGTGAATGGAAGTCACACCGACCTCCTCCCAGGACAAATCTAGAATTACAAGTAAATTGTGGAGAAATCACCTGGAACAAACAACTGAACAATAGTGACAGAGGAAACTTATAACCTTGGACAGACAGAAGGATCAGCTTTAGTACAATCTAACTGGTATGGAGTGTGGTAGAGACTCGAGAAGTCGGGCAGAGCACCAGAAGGATATTGAAATGGCCAGTTGGAACCCCATGAGAAGACCGGGGTCTAAACCATATGCAGGAATCTCCAGCCTACAGCACCAGAACCCAAAAAGTAGACAGATAACAGCCAGCTGTGAAAAGTGGCATGGTTGGTCTCTGCCAGAGACAGGCAGCTGGCGATCCAAAGAGCTTTTGAAAGGGCCAACACATACATTTTTATTTGCAGCCACTTATCCTGGGCTCCAGCAAAGGCAGGGGCAGAGTTGGCTAGAGATGCCCGAGGAGAGTCTGGGAGAGGAGGCTTTGGGGAGAGAACTGAGAGAGTAGCCAGCTGGATCCTGGTGTCAACTCATCCCCCATGTGGCGGCAGCCATCTTGCTCAGGGAGACTATTCCCCTGAGCCGCAGCAGTGTGAGAGGACACAATAGCCCCTCCCCCAGGAGGGACTCAGCTCTGTCCTGGTAGTGCTAAAGCCTGACTGCTGAGTACAGAGTGGCAGCCACAGTAGATCTCTAGCTAAAGGTAGTGCAGAGTGGTCTAGAGACACTTGAGGAGAGACTGGAGATGGAGGCTTTGGGGAGAGAACTGAGAGTGTAGCTGGTGGGATCCCAGTGCTGACTCCTCCTGCATGTGGCAGCAGCCTTCTGGCTCAGGCAGACCACTCCCTTAAGCAGCAGCAGCGTGAGAGGCCCCAGTAACCACCCCCATCCCCAACCCAGGAGGGACTCTGCCTCGCCCTGTGGCGTCTAAGCCTGACTGCTGAGTGCAGAGTGACTAGATTAACAACTGAAGGAGACAGCCACAGACAGTAGATTCCTGGAAGTCTTGAACAGACTGCCTAAGTTCAGACAGGGTCATCGTCAGACATCATCAGAGGCAGATCCAGAAAGAAAAAAGAGTGGTCTCCTACCATAGAAGTTCACACCACAAAGTCAGGAAATCAAGACAAATCAATTTGAGAAGTAGAAGCAAGAAAGAAGAGTCTCACAAGTAATGGGAAGACAAAGAAACACCCCCCAGTTAAAAGGAAAGGAATAATCCCCAGAAAGAGAACTAAATGAAATAGAGGGAAGTAAACTATCAGATATTGAGTTCCAAACAAACGGTTCTAAGGAAGCTCAATGAGCTCAATGAGCTCAAAGAGAACTACAAAAAGCTACAGGGGAACTACAAGGAACTTACTGCAAACTATATCAGCATGAAAAAGTACATAGAAACTATCAATAAGAGACAAGAGAAAATGAAGAATACAATTTCTGAATTTAAGAACACAATAGAAGGAATCAAAAGCAGGCTAGATGAAACTGAGGACCGAATCAGTGAGCTGGAGGACAAGGTAGAAAAAAGCTCCCAGAAAGAGCAAGAAAATGAAAAAAGACTCAAAAAGAATGAAGAGACATTTAGGGAAATGCAGGACAACTTGAAATGTAATAATATTCATATACTAAGGATACCAGAAGGAGAAGAAGAGGAGGAAGGGATAAAGAACCTGTTTGAAAAAGTAATGATAGAAAACTTCCCTGATTGGAGGGGAGAAAAAGTCACACAAGTCCAGGAAGCACAGAGGGTCCCATTCAAGAGGAACCCAATGAGGCCCACTCCAAGACACACCATAATTAAAATGGCAAATATCAAAGACAAACAGAAAATCCTAAAGTAAGCCTTTTGCGACAACATGGTCAGAACTGGAGAGTATTATGCTAAGTGAAATAAGCCAGTTGGTGTGAAAGACAAATACCATATGATTTCACCTATAAGTGGAATCCATCCCACAAAATAAACTAACGAACAAAATAAACTACAGGCATGAAAACATGGAGCAGACTGAACGTGACCAGAGGGGATGGGTAAAGAGGACAGTGGTGAAAAGGAGAAGGTACTAGACAAAGAACATGTATAAATGACCCATGGACATGGACAAGAGAGTGGAAATTGACCGTGGGAGAGGGAGGTGGGTGGAGTAGGGCAAAGGGGGAAAAATTGAGAGAACTGTGATAGAATAAACATGATTTGAAAATAAAAAATAAAATAAAAACAAAAACAAACAAACAAAATATATTTGCATTTATACCATAATTGTTATGATCACTCAAAAAAAAAAAAAAGGGAGGAAAACAGTGCTTAGGTTAACCAACACTTTTATTTTTAGAATGTTAAGTCTTCTTCAGGATTTAGCATATTAAAAAATAAGATAAATTATTTTAAAAAATTGAATCATCTCCAAGATGTCATTACTATTTATTTTAAAGCAGAGGATACAGGTCCTAATTTCTGATCACTTCTAATGAGATAAGAATCTATGAGTCCATGACCAAAATGCATACTCAGTTACTGTAGGAAATCAAAAAATATCATACTAAACCTGGACTCTATAAAGACAAAGCAATTGTTTTCTTTGAAAAATATGTCAGGTTTAGAAAATTTCTAGGATTTACCTGTAAAAGCACCTTCTGGGACCTAATAGTGACGTCTTAGGGAAACACTTGCATATCAAGGTGGGAAGGACAGGAGGTGGCGTTTTGTGGGCTCCGATGGTGGTTAGATAGTTCTCAGAAGACAGCACTGGAAATTAGATAATTGCTGATGTCATATTTTTTACAATAAAAAAAATTTGGTGTCCTAGGGCTATAAAAGCAGCAGCTTCTACCTTTCCATCACAAGCAGAATCATTGAAGCAGGTAAGTGTTTCAGCAAACTTAGTACGATTGGTTTCGTTGCTGTGATACTTCTTGATACTTAATTTTTCCCTTTATGTTCTTTCTTTGTTGATATCAGGTTCTTCTTCCCTCGCTGTCAATTGCTCGAGTTGGAGTTGTCTGTAATGGCCACCCTGCAGAAGCCTGCGAACTTTTCCCCTCTGGGGACTCTGGCCGCCAGCTGCCTTCTCCTCATTGCCCTGTCCGTTCAGGGAGGAGCAGCTGTGCCCGTCAGGTCTCACTGCAGGCTCGACAGGTCCAACTTCCAGCAGCCCTACATCACCAACCGCACCTTCATGCTGGCTAAGGAGGTACTCACCTCAATCTGCCTCTTCCGTATCTTATCTACTTGGAACCCAAATAGTTCTTAAATTTTTCTGCAGAACACATCTAAGATCTTTAAGAACCCATCATTTATATCTACTGGTAGACCAGAGATCATTTTCTGCCTGTTCATAGACTCTTTGGGGATTAGGCTTTATCAGAAGACCTTCCACCTTGGCCTTTAAAATATGTTCATTGAGTTTTACTCCAAAAGGAGCTATGTAGCAGCCCATCTGACTATTCATTTCCCTGTGCTCCTCTGTGCATCATTTTAGACTCATACACACGTCCAATTCTTTCCTCAGTCTTCCTGGGGCTGCTCTTGGGAGAGAATATAAAGTACATCTCTACTTACAGGCTTTCTTTCTATCTCCTTGATGTCCAAGCATTTGGTTCTTTCTTCTCTTCCAGGCTAGTTTGGCTGATAACAACACAGATGTTCGTCTCATTGGAGAGAAACTGTTCCGCGGAGTCAGTGTAAGCCATAGTAGCGATTAGCAGGGCAGTGTGTCATTCATGGTTATTTGGAGCTGTGGTGAGGATGGCTTGGGTCTTCTGGGTGTGCCCTAATATGACCCCTGCTGTTTCGCTTTTGCCTGCAGATGAGTGAGCGCTGCTATCTGATGAAGCAGGTGCTGAACTTTACCATTGAAGAAGTGCTGCTCCCCCAGTCTGATAGATTTCAGCCCTATATGCAGGAGGTGGTACCCTTCCTGGCCAGGCTCAGCAACAAGCTAAGCCAGTGTGTAAGTTCTTCTCCGGGCCTAAGTCCGCCCACTCGCAGTGGTCTGCCTTCCCCCCTTCTTCCATTTTGAGCACTTTCCCCCTATCCTCTTTGTCCCCTCCCATGCTGGCAGTAAGAGGTGCCTCAGCAACACTAATGGAGGAGTCATTTGGAATCACAGAGTATTTGTATTTGCTTTCATTGAGACACATTTTGTGTTTATGGAGATAGATGGGGTCTGAAAGACAAGTGCATAGAAGGCTCATTTGTCCTTAGGAAAAAGCAATTCAGGTTATATGAGACAACAAAGGTATTGGGAACTGTAAGGAAAAATAGCTAGATGTGGAAATGGAGCCACTGAGTATAAGCTGATGAAGGGAAAGGATGGGAAAAAGAAAAAGAGGGAAATGGGAAGAGCTCCATGGGGGGATGGGGTAGGCGAAGACTTCTGCCCTTTTGCCATCAAGGGAGGTAACACAATCAGAGGCATGTGAATTCAATACCTCTAAACATTTAAAACAGTGACAAAAGTTTGAGTGAAAGGGGCAGAGCAAAGGGGACCTAGTACTTCTTGAGGAAGACCTACTGCTCACATGAGATGTTTTATGTACCTTTCTTGTTCTGAGCATGCATTTTTGGATGAGGTACAGTTATGATTTTAACCTTGACAGAATTTGCATAAACCACTCCACTCTTTCCACAAACTTAAACCTCAATAAGAGTTCCCAAAAATGAAGAGAGGTCCCATATAAGGGAAATTACTGGATTTTTGCGTCCAAGGGAATTTAAGAGCTCAGGAAATTTAGGTCACTGGTGAAATCTAGGTCATTGTGGGCAAAAATGCTGAGAACTTTACTTCCAGGTGAATTGTAACATACTTCAGTTAGGGACACTGAGGTTCATAAAGTGTCAGTAGAACACTGTTCAAATAATTACTCTGGTTTTCATTTTGTAGCATATTGAGAGTGATGGTCAGCATATCCACAGAAATGTGCAACAGCTGAAGGACACCGTGAAAAAGGTACTACCAATAATTATTAATGCTGAATTGTTAAATAGGAGTGACAAATTTTTTTCTTTCTTTTAACCCTTCACGTTGTGATTTTTCACTTGATTCTTCTACCGTTAGGTTGATCATTTAGGTGTATAAATATGTAGATACATCTGTATATTTATAAATCACTTGCTAAATTCTGCAAGTTATAGAATTCTAGAACTGTCTGGGAAGTTAGGTTGCCTAGTCTCACCATCCCGTGTTCTGGGGACGGCCAGTGGCAGAGCCAGGGCTGGAATGCCATTCTCCCGAGTCCCATCCAGCTGGCACTCCTTCAGCAGTGATATGTATTAGTTTCAGTATTATGAATTCATAGGGAAATTTAAGGTTCTTACAGTCCATGTAATCTGACAAAGCACTTGTTCAAAAACAGAAAAGGGCCTAGGGAACAAATTTATTGGAAGTGATTTTTGAAGCCATTAACTCGATGATTTAAAACTTGGAGAAATAAACCCAGAACAACCATAACAAAAGAGCTTGACTTGAGTATAGGCTAAATTTCTGGAATAATTGATACTTATATTTAATTGTCATAATAAAATACCTAACAGCTATTGATTTGAATTTAAAAGCATGAGTGAACAACCTTCAATTTTCTTTACACAGTTTCAAATGGAATAAAAATATTAATCATAGATTTATTATACTAAAATGAAAGCTTGAACTGGAAATCTTTTCTCCCTCTGTCCCTTTCCCTTCCTTTCTAGTTCTCCGCTGCAATAAGTCCTTAGATAGATAGTGAGCCTCTATCTGGTGTAAGTTGGTGTGTATTTCTACAGTGAATGATACTGTCATGTGGCCTATTTGGGGAAAAGAACAACTGTAGAGGCTCAGACTAGAAATTGTGATTCATCCAAAACTAGAGGAATGATTAGTAGCAGCGAAAGTGATGCTTTTGCAAGCAGGCACAATTAAACCTCAGAAGCATGAAGGCTCTGGTTGATAAAATATTCAGCAACAGGCATAATCACAGATCTCCCTTTTTTCCATCTTGATGTGTTTTACAAAAAATATTTCTTCCTGGGCATGATTTAATGAACATAATGACTTCTTCCTTTGTAGTTTTCCACTGTGAAGCTCAATTCTCTTGTCATAGAACCATTACTTAGGTGCAGAGGGCTGCATATTGGCACACCCTAGCTAAGATGTGCTTTGGCCTTCTGGTTTGAAAATCCCTGATGTCAGTGTACTTTGTGGTCTTTAGAAAAGTAAAGAGAGAGAGAGAGAGAGAGAGAGAGAGAAAGAGAGAGAGAGAGAAATCTGATGATCTGTGTAAGGCCACAGAGATTTTAAAGCTTTTACTCCATTTTGAGAGAATCAACTTCCACATGTGCAACAGATTGCCATGTGGAAGAGCGGTGATGCTTTTTTTAACCCTGTCACTCCAGAGGGCATAGGCAGAAGAGGGGCAGGCTGTTCAGAGAAAGCTCAACATGAGGGAAGGCTGGTCAGCACTGCCTGAAACGGGAGGGAAATATTGGGAGGCAACATTTCCTGTCACCGGAGGAAAAAGTGGAGAGCAAACTGCAGTAGAATGGACGACAAGACAGTAGGGCAAGATACACTTTCAATTTTTTTACGCAAATATTCCTTGGCATTGTGCCAAAGGAAGTGTGGAAAGGTGAAATGGTGGAAGAAAGCAAGAAGAGAAAGGAGAGTAGAATATAGAGGACAATGGTGACTCATGCCTTTTCTTCAAATAATCTAGAGGGAATTTAACAGAGTAAATGAATTTCAGAAGAGGATGCTTTGGATTTGAATTTGGGTTCTCTCTTCCATTGGGTTGAAAGCCTCATTCATTTACATATTACTTGGAAGAAGAAGAAAGAAGGAATGTTAGAACCTATATTTGACTTTCTACTAATTAAAGTGACTAAATAGGACTTATTTGGTATTTTCACAAAAGTGAAAATCTGTTTCTTTTCCTTTGTCAAGAAGATGAGAACAGAAAAAGCCCATGTGTGTTGGTAAATGTGTAGTTCTGATTCAAGGCTGTTGTTATGAATAGTTAGTTGGTCATAGATGGTGGTGGGACCATGGGGTCGGCCACGAAGGGCATAATGGGTGGCATTCTGGGTCCCCCGGCACAGCTTCCATCTGTTTGCCCTGGTTAGGCTGTGATTTTAAACAGCTTCGTTAGAGTGAGGTACAACTGAGACTGTTGCCTCTTGGTGTCCTCTCAGTTCAGATAGCCATAATTTAAGATCTTTGGCAAATCATTATATTCTTGCTAAAGGACATTACTGTTAATCTTTTACAAATGGCTACAACTTGGTTTCTGTCTCAAACAACCTAACAATGCCGTCTTTTTCCTAATTTGTCCCTGTTTTAAAAACATGGTGTAAAATACTCAATTATTTGTGCTTTCTTATTTTCACAGCTTGGAGAGAATGGTGAGATCAAAGCAATTGGAGAACTAGATTTGCTGTTTATGTCCCTGAGAAATGCCTGCATTTGATCACAACAAAGCTGGAAAATGGATAATAACCCCTTCTTGCCTGTTGGAAATAATAACATCCCCAGAGGTTGCCTTTTCTTTTTTTTCCAAGAGGAAAATGGGAAGACAAACTCCACAATCATGGGTAGATTCTAAACAAACAAATCAACAAATCCCTGCTTAGCTTAAAAAAGAGAACAAAGTTACTTGTGTCCATAAGGCTAGAAGGTATCCCTTGCAAGCATGAGATTTATTGTTAATGCTTTATTGTAGTAGGCATTTTATACACAGAAATTTGTTTTTAAGCAATTGTCTAGTCTTACAAAATTTACTTCCCATTCTTTCTGGAAAAAAAAAGACCTAAAAACTTTCTTTTTATAATTAGTACTTTATAGTTATGAATTTATTTATTGTTATAAGTATACTTTTTATTTATATCATTTTACTAATATGGGTTTATTTATAGATTCATGATATTGCTACTTAAGTGTAAGACTAATATTAATATTTATGACAATAATTGTGGCTCTGTGTCTATTTAAACTCAATAAATACTTTGATATCTTAAATCTTGTCCCTTTGTCATTCTTCCTTTAATATTATTGTTGTCATTGTGGTCACTATCATTACCGTCATCTTCATCATCATCATCATGTACTCATTTCCAATTGCTTAATGAGTCAAGAACTTTATATAATTGACTTTATTCTTCACTCTCAGTAAAGGAGATGGCTATTAGTAGTGCTCCATTTTATAGATAAGAAAACTGAGTCAGAGCCATGTTAAAAACATTGTGTAACTATAAGTAGTTGATTCTTATTGAGCTCAGTTATCTGATTTCTGGGCTCTCTGCTATATTGCCTATATAGACTTAAGTTGATTCAGTGTGTAATTCTGAAATGCCAAGTTGAGAAATGAAACAGAATCCATTTATATCATTAGCAATTTGAGGGTAAAAGGAAGGAGTGATGCTATTGGGGGAGAAATACATAGAGCCTCTATTGCTGTAGGTGAACTGTTTTAATTCTACTTCAAGCCTGTTAGGGAGAGCACTCCCCAGTTTTCCAGTAAATCAGGAAATAAAATAAAGGGGAAGCTTACTGAGTTGGGAGAGTCTGTCTGCTAGTGGAGTTTAGCACACATAGAGAAGTCTTGTGTGTGGAAGATGAGCAAGATGTTATGAAGCATATTGAAGAGAGAGTGAAAGCTATACGTCTCTAGACATTGTACAGTGGTACAGAGAAGAGAACGAAGAGGTAGAGATGCAAGTTGGGCTAGTTCCATCCAGAATAATGAACAGATGACACCAGCACTGAAGAAGGTATAGGTCTTTCCGTAGAAGGTAAAAGTTAGTTGTTAACTATCTAAAGTATTTTCTTAAAAAAAAAAAAAAATCAAGAACCGTGGGCTTATCTTTCAGGTCATTCACCAATTGTTTGCCAAGTTCCTGTGGGATTAAGCCAAACCTGGTGGTAATAGGTGAGCATGTATATATAATTTGTAATTTCACTTGCGGATAAAGCAGAACTAATACTTTTGCGTAGGGGCTCTGATTGCTAAGAGGTACCAGAGCTAAGCTTCAGGGATGATATAATTAAAATTGCTTCTGGGATAAATTGAGGTTTAAGACTCTTTCCTCTCTTCTGAATGAGTCTTAGTGTAATGCCTTGTGCAAAATTTGTCATTGGACTTGTTTTTGACAAATCTTCCAGAAATGAAGTCATTAATGGAAGAATACTCTTAAAATTTATGAGGCAAGGAGTCTGAAACACAGAGATTGAAACATTCTGAATATGAATGAACATAAGGCATAAGGTGCCAAGATCTTCAATTCTGGAGGGCAGTGCTGACGAACTGGCAGCTCTACGAGAGAGTCCCAATTCTTTGCGGGGAGGCTTGACATAATCATTGGCACCTGTTGTAGCTTTTTTTTTCTTTTGCATTCATGGCAGTGTCTAGAATTTGGCTGGTGCTGTCAGCATTGCTCATGTTCTTGCCATTGGCGAAGGACTTGGGTTTCTCCTCTCCCCCTAGGAGATGGCAGCATCCAGGTATTCAAGATGACTAACCTATGAGGCTGTGTGAGACACAGCACCCCGAGATACTAACCATAATTTAGGACTGATGAGAAACCACTGGAGGGTTTTGAGCATGGGAAAGACTGGATATGACTCAGCTCTGTAAAGGTCACTGTGGCTGCTGGATAGAGAGTAGGTCTACTGTGTGTGTTTGTGTTGGGGGCTGGGGAGTGGTAAGAACAGAAGCAAGGCCAGAGCAGTTGTCCAGAGAGGGGGGATGATTGCACTGGAGAGATAGTAGTTGAGTCAGAGAAACCTGGTGTGTGAACTGTAACATTCAGCTTGGCCTGCCTGGGAAATAAGAGCTGTGTATGGAGCATATGCACTAGCAAGAAAAGTGATCATTTAATTTTTCTTCTTGTCCTTCATTTGCACTCTGTTGTTCACTAGAATGCAGTGCTTCATGTGGGAGTTAAATATAGAGAGGCTTTTTGGTCCAAAAAGAGGTTAAAGTTTTAAGATCTGAGCGAAGACACTTCTGTCAGAAGAAGAGAATGCAGGGATGCCAGGGGCTGAAAGCTGAGGTCCTCTTGTCTTAGAGGCAGCAACAGCTATTGCAACTTTACCTTTGTGATCCCTTGTCAAGGAGTGTTTACTTTTGAAAAACAAGTGGAGGAGGCTGAGAAGACTGACCCTGGTCTCCAAGAGGAAATTGCATTACTGCTACACCACGAGGCGAGATAGACTATAACTAGATCCGGGGGATTTGCTGGATTATCTTGTCAATTTGCTCGATAGTTTCATTAACAGAAAATTGCATCAGTCCCCAAAAGACAAGATCATTAAGAACTCCATTTTCATAGGAATGAGGGTTTAAGTCACTTTAACAGGTGATGAATTCTATGCAATGGAGGTACAGGCAGAGGGTAAAAGAAAAATGGAGCGGAGAGTGAAAGAATGCAGTTATGATTATTAATTTAGATTCTGTAAACAGCTATAAAAATAGGAATTCTAGCAAATATAGTTTCTGTTAATAAATTATTTGTCCTGTTTTCTCCTTGCTTCTCTTATGGGGGCTGATATTTTAGCTTTTTGGTGGATATATATGACCATATTGACATCATCCTATAATGATATAATGAAGTTGATGAGATTCTAAGTATTTGCTGTGTAGGAGAAACACCTTTTTTTTTTTTTTTTTAACCTGAACAAAGGCAACAGTGGCAGCTGAAGACAAAAATGACGCGTTGTCCCAATCTGGCCCTCCAGATCCATCCACTGTTTTTTCCTACTCCACTTTGTGGCCGGAGAGGCGGATAGGTATGAGTTGCCCAATGTATGTGCTTACTCTCTGGCTTTTGGTCATATTTGACAAGTGGGAAAGTTAGCAGGAGTTTAGACAACGAGAACAAGATCAGAGTATTTATTCCTCTGGGCCCTCCTGCCAGATTGCCATGCAGGTCATTAGTATACTTTTACCAAAAGCTCCCTGCAGACAACTCTCTTCCACATAGTTCTCTTTCCTGATTCTGGAAATTTCAATCCTGTTCCCTAACAGGCTTACGGCTATTGTTAGTTTCAAGGCATTGCACTATTTCTTGTAAGGTTTCTTAAACTCTTTCCACATCTTAAAAAAAGAGATCAATCCCACAAACTCTTTTCCATTACCCAGTTTGAGTGTAATGGATGTTTTCTGCTGGGATTCTGACCTGTGCCTCCGCTTTCTCACTTCTGCTCTCCCACCAGCCCCTGCCCAGCAGCAGCATGGCGTCGGCCAAATTCAGGTGACATCATTTATGGACCATACATAGAACCAGTGTTTGGCACATCTGAGTTGTGTGTAAATTTTTGACCCAGAAATAAAGCAAAATCAGAAACAATGGTATATGGTTTCTAAAATTAAAACACATTCTTTAACTTAAAAGAGTCTATTTCTCCAACAGATTTTTCCGCAGGGAAATAGAGGTGCTTAGGTAAACACACAGTATCACTTGAAGGAATTAAAGAGCCTCTTCTCCCCTTTGATCCAGGAATTTTGTGTTTCTTTCTGTGACTCTTCCTGCTGCTACTCCAGGCATGTGTGGAAATCTTTGTTTCAGTTGGGCAACCGCGCCGGCTGGAGGATGGGGGAATTATTACACCTGAGTAATTCTGACTCCTCTAAACCTGAGGTTGCTTCTTCTGTGTGTGGCCCTTCTTTCTCCTTTTTTCTTGCTACAGCTGCAAAGGATATTCATGGTGACACTATGTGTTCCGTTTAGTCACAGTCTATTCCTTATTTCTCGGGATTTAACCCTCTGGGTGGTTCTAAGCATCCCATATGTGTGTGTGGGTTAGCCTCAATACCACCTAGAAATCGACCAGCTGTGTCCTCTCTAGCAGGTGCTGTTTATTTTTGAAAACTGCATGCTGTGAGGTGCTTTTATGAGCTTTTTTTTCATCTGGGACATTTTCATCTTGCCATCACTGTAGATGCTATTTTTAGGCACAATGACTGCCCAGGAACCTTATGAACTTTACATTGCTGCTTGACTCAATGACACCCTTAGAAATTTCAGTTCAATTTCATTCAGTAGGCAACTCTTTAGATCTTGGGGCAAACAAGATCCTGTGTAGGGGCTGTGAAAACATAAGGTATCTATAATTTGGGTGCTCTCTGGTGAGGAAGACAGGAAAACAGCTGCTTAGGGCACAAGCGAACTGAAACGTGCTATGGGAGAGACACCAACGAGATGATGATCATCACTGCGGATAACACTAAAGTTGCATTTGAGCTGATCTTTTGCAGGATAAGAAGAATTTCAGTAAATTCAAATGTGGTCTTCTCTATGACATCTCCCCTTTTCCTTCCCCTTTGCAACCTAGGCATAGTTAACGGCTCTGTCTTCAGGACTCTCAAAGTATAATTTACATCACTCAGCATTTATCACACTGCTGATCAATTGTTTGTCATGTGTTTATCTTGAGAGATTTTCAAGGACATAAACTTGTTCATCTTTGTGT